AAAGAGGTATATTGTGAATAAGGAAAGATGTCAATGAACACCACTTCCAATACCAGAACCCTCTCTTCTGCAACATACAGCACAAAATTTATTGGAAACTCACTGGGGCAGGGATTTCCCCACAGTATGTGGAAGTCCTCTTTAGGGAGAAGCCAGTCTGTGGTGAGTTACCAACTGAAATGCTCCAATGAGTTGGTGGTGTGGGCTAAATACAGACCTGATTGCACATCATCACCAGACATAGTTCTGAGAAGCAACTAGCGTGCCCTTGTTAAGGTCCATTAAAATCAAGCAATAGAACACAGGGGAGGTAAGTTTAAGTAATCAGTGGCGTTCGGTCAAAGGTTGGGCTCAGTGATCTTGGAGGCGTTTTCCAACCTGAAAGTTTTATGATCCTATGGCTGTTCCTCCTGCTTTGATGATAACTATATACAAAACACACCACAGAAACAGAAAAGAGCAAGCAAGAGCTTACATGGGGCTGTGTGATTGTGTAACACTGTAACACTGCTAAGTACCCAGTGAAATCACAGGGACCATTGCACAGACACGCTGGGAGGAGAAAAAACTTGACAGCCATTGAATACTGGACTGAACAAGAGCAGAAAAGAACAGAGCAGAGGGTAAACTGAGAGTTTCTTGGTTCAGCAGCCAGCAGGCCTGCAGTGCAATCCTGCAGAAAGCTACACACACTGCAGCACTCTGTACTTCCATTGCAGCCTGACAAGTCAGCTGTGCCCATGGCATACGATGCATCATTGACATTGTGGAGCTGCTCTTAGGGAATTGTTGTATTGTGGAGTGGCAGTGGGAGCAGGGATCGCCATGTCTTGGCATGGACAGTGTCACCACTCTGACAGGCTGGGAATACAAATCTGGGATTATGTGGCATGAGGAATCAAAGAAGAAACCAGGAAGAATTAGTCAACACATCCATGTAGGATTGGTGCCACTCTCTTTTCTATAGGAAGCAGAGAGGGGAGGACAAGTAATGCCCTGACATTTTGCAGTTAAGCCAACATGAACAGGGACAGAAAACTCCATGCACTGGACGTGGGAGGAACACAGTTCACTTGCAGACAGTAGAGCCTTGCTCAACAGCTAGCTGAGCCAGGCATATTGGAGCAGGGAGAAAGGCCCCGTGTCATGCAGGCAAACTAATCTTTCTCCAGCTCCTTGTGCTGCATGAGGTCTGTGAGCAATGTACCTTTAGTGTGTAAAGTCTGAGTGTATATGTGCATCACTCGGCACCTTTGCTGGACGAGTGCTGGGAGAAGGAGAGAGAATGGTCATGTAGCACCTGGTTGCAAGCCGGGACCAGGAGAGATGGGAGGAACATGAAAAATCCCTGTAGGTAACAGCAATTACCATTGCTCACGCAGGGGTTAGAACAGTGGTGCTATAAAGAAGGGCTCCTTTAGAATCTGGAAAAGTTCGCGAGGGAACAAAAGGTTTACTGGGAAACGAAGTGTGAAATAGTGCAACCTGACTGCTAGGCAGCAGTAGGGAAGAGAGAGGAAGGCAGGTGACAAAGAAGACATGTAAGGAACAGTGGACTGTGGGATTACTTTTGACCAGACCAGACTGTTTTCACAGAGTCCAAAACTCTTTCAGGACAAAAGTATTGCAGATAGTAAAATTTACCAATAAACCAATAAAGAGTTTAGATGCTGGCCTGAGATTCTCAAATTTGTATAGAGAGCTGTAAAAACTCCAGTCTCAAGTTAGCCACAGGTCAGTGTGACCTTCCTCCTACATCATGGCTGTTGTTTAGGCTACTTATTGGCCACTATGAGCCCTATTCCACCAAAGATATGCTATTCCCATTTCCCTGTGGCAAATTTTCCACAGGAAAGTAATGAACGTTAGTAATTTGCATTGTACCAACTTCTCCCCAGCTTTCAGTTCCCATAGGAAACCCACCCACTGAGTCAGGAACATAAAGATCTGCAGAACATTTATAGTCCTGGTGCAAGTCCCCTCAGCTGTTCCATATGTCCAGTAGCATCTGCTATGGCTCAAAATAGGTTTTTGCAGTCTCCAGGCTTTGAAAACATTGTCTTGGTCTTCACAACATTCCCAGTGCTTCGCCTGCATCACAAGAACAGCTCTCAGCTAAAGGAGGGAAAATATCAGAAGACACTCTTGGATAGATTTTTGATACATGATGTAACAGGGCATACCCCAGAAAGACAAAGTATCTTGCTGTGGGAAAGAAGTTCTCAGTTTCTGCTCTGTGGGGAAATCAAGGCAAACCTATGCATCTGGTAAAAGATTTGCCAAAAGCTGGGAAACTGAAGAATCACCGAGACTATGTAGCACAAAATTCAGCCTGGAGAAGAGCAGTTGAGTATTGCCAACCTTGGAACACATACCAGAGAGGGGGAAGGGCCCTGCTAGATGTCATCCAGCCACACAGTCAAAATGTAGAGCAAGGGGAGAAGGAAACTTTTCATTTAGTTTGTGATCTCCAGGTGGATGGCTGGCCTGTGCCACACAGCTCCCTGAAACACAAACGACAGAGAAAAGCAGCTCAGTCTCAAGAGGAAGCAAAGAGATTCCCACTGATCTCAAGGACTGCTGGGTCAGTGGGAAAAAAGAAACATAGTGCTTAAGCTGCATTGCCAAACATTCTGGAAGGACAAGCAAAAGCCAGCTCCCTCCATCCATTGCAAATGATTAACAAAGTATGAAACAATATGTCCATTTTCTTTAACAACTAAAATTTGCTGGAGAAACAGAGCAGGCACAGCCCTCCAGTTTGTATTTAGGAGCCTGGCCACATATTCACAAAATCAGCCTCAGTGCATACTAAAGGGTCACTTGTTTCAGACCCCTGTGCACTCTGTATACTCAGCACTTGCTGTAACACAAGCCCCAAGTCTCTGAACAGCTGGGTTGTTAGGCTGGCTGCAAGCAGGGAAATTGTATGCTTTCAGTCACTGGGTAAAAAGAAGGGTCAGACCATATGTGTGAGTGGGGAGGACAGAGGAAGGAGTAAACTGGACAGTGAAACTCCTGCTCCCCAGGTGGTGAGCAGAAATAGCGTTTGCATGCACGCAAGGCAGGAAGAAGCCAGAGCTGCAGCCAACAGAGACCAAAGGAAATGCAAAGAATAAGCACTCAGGAAAAGGAAAGAATCCAATCCTTGCAATCAATGGCTAGGAGGGTACCCTGCAAATCTCTGACAATAAGCATCCACTGCATCTCCTAGAAAGGACAACCTTGTCATCCAT